ACATTTGTTAAACTTTCTGAAGGTATATGGCAACAAAACACGATGGCTGTATTTACATTATCGGGAACACGAAAGGAATAAACATCGAGAATTGAAACTAAAGAACATCAGCAAAAATGCTCAACAAGCACACAATCGAACTATGATAGCAGCTAACAGCCATTTGTACAGTTCAACCAACGCTTTTTGAATGCAACGTATGTATGTAATGTTGTTGTTTGTTAGATTGTCATCCAATTTGTTGAAGAAGAAAAAATTCTTTTTTCAAAGTCAAATATAATGTTTTCCGAATGATTATTCACCATAATTCGAATCACTTCGACACTGTATAAACATTCCAGCACATTCATCAAGATGAGAAATGCAGAATGCTCAATGCAAGTCTTGCAGTCGTTGACCACTCTAACACATTCTCCAATTGAATAACGTGAATCATCAAATGCTTTCTTGTTTTAGATGCAAATAATACATCTGTAAATGTGTCATATTGAGTGCTTATAAGAAAATCTCTATGAATAATACAATACTTTGTTGACTTTCAGCAATATATGCAGGTGTGAAAAGTGATCGTTGTAGGTGCTCTCGTTGAAGTTTCGGCGTTCAGCGTCATCGATGATACAATGAAGCAATGGTATAGCACAAAAAGAAACTCCATTCGTGAGTCTATCAAATGTGCATCCGTCATACTCCTTGAAGCACAGTTGCGGACTCGCAGGAAACCACTGAAGTTCTAAATGTTTGCCTGACTGTTTCTGTAACAGTGCTCACATCTTAAACCCTTAATTGAGCCTTATTAATGGTTATATGCACGAGTACACATATTACGGCGCACAATACATTACCAATTTCGTTCCAGCACAAAAACTCCGGAACGAACGAGTACATATACCACGAAATTTAAGTGCAGAACTTTTTCAGAGAACGGTTTGGAAAAATTCAATCAAGATTTCAATTATTCAACAATTCTTCTCAACTCAGTATTGTTTTTTGTTTAGGAGGAGTTCTTTTGAGATCGTCGCGACCTTCGAAGAAATTTGAAAAGATTGTTTTTTGAAAAATATAAAAGTTTAAGAAGTTGAAGAAAGCTGAAAAGAAATCGAATGATGTCCTCTGAAGAGCACCTCGCAAGCGCTCTGATTTTTCAGTGCACCTAGCATAAGACTTCAGTGGCATGTTTCCATTCACAATCCTCATGCACTGTCGTTGCCTGAATTTTCGGGAGGTATTTTAGCCGCGAAAGACCAGCCAAGCGATTTCTCTGATCAGTGAAGAAAAATTACAATCTCGAATCGTGTGCCTTATGTTTTTCGGTGATGATCTTAATTTGCAAACGAAGTCGTTTCTAAAATTTCGTAAAAACATAGAAAGCACCACTAAGAGGCATGCTTTCAAACAGTTATGAAATTCTTTCAAATCATTGTGTTTAGCCTTCAAGTTCATATGAACTTTTTATCAATTTATTGATGTTATCATTTTACAAGTTTTCACAGTGCAAATAGCACAAGTTATTTTTACATGGCAGTTCAGATACGACAGAGTAGTGGCATTCATAAAGCAGAAAACGTCGATCAATAACAAAATTTGAACACACTCAAGCAAAATCTTGAAGTTTTTGCATTTCCAATGCAACGCAAGAGGATCGCATTCAAATGATCACGAGTCAATCTAAAGGCTCGACAGGTCCGAGGATTAAGGATTAAACACACAACTAAATGCTTTTCATTCATCATAGATATTCCTCGGTAACATCACTAATATTTTCGTAAGAGAATATAACACACTGAACACTGAAATGAATAACTGAAAACAAAGAAGATGAACCTAGTCATGGTACTGTAGATAATTCGATACAAATTTACTGCTGGTAAAAACAAAAAAAANAAAAAAAACATTTTTTAATGTTTTTAACTTCAGTGATTGACAAATTTAACATTGAGCTCCTGAACCGAACCGGTATTTGTTTGTTCATGTACTTTAAGAATGCGAGTTAGACGTTCTGAACTTATTTGATGGATCATATACATCTGAAGAGTCCGAATGAAGATCAACGGTGATCACCTTTGCAAGCCCATCAACCCTCCTCGCTGAAGGTTGGCTCTTATCAAATGCATCTCCACCGATAAACAACGAGGTCACATCAGAACCAGGTGAAGTGACCTTTTTCGATGACTGATTCAGAGTGGAGGTTGATTTCGCAGCATGATGTCCCACAGGTGAAACACTACCGCCTATGAAACTAGATCCCAAATCCGGCCAACGATTTTTGTGGATCTCGGCGCTCTCAACATCCGTTACTGTCTTTCCGTTGATCCTCCGAATATACCTCAAATTGAGCTATTCGGCATTCGACAACTGTCAATCTCTTTTTCTCTAATGAATTCATTTGAAAATTGAAAAATAACCAAACAAGCTCTCAACTCTGTTTTCATGCTGTACAGAATAATGTTTACACTTTCAAATTTGCGGACGGTTTGAAAATTTGATTAAAATTT